CAATGGCTGCCAGTCATTGACTGGTCTATTTAACTTATTGATATTGGTACCTACATATTTATTAAACTTAAAAAAACCTAAGTTTACCAACTTATAATACATTTTAATAGTTTACGTAGGTATTAAAAAATACTTAAATGTTTGCAAAATATATTTTAAATTGCCACAAATTTTGGCTATTTGTCCTTAAATTTTTAAAGCTATTTATAAAATTTAATTTTTAATTATAGGTATAATAATTTTTATTTACATTATTATATTTTAAATTACAAAATATACAATTTTAAATGCAAAACATTCTACATATAGATCCTACTTACAAACATCATCGAATAATAAAATTTTATAAAAATGTGAGCAATTTTTAATAAGAATAAATATCATTAATTAAAAATAATTTTTATAATTATTGTTAATTCTCTCAAGAGCAACTATAAATATAATATAAGATATTGAAACCATTTCCGAACAATACCTTTCCAATCATTTATTTGTTGCCAAATGGGTGTCAATTCCGGTATCTCGAAATCCCGGGGTCCCGTTTAAAAATACGATCCCAAAAATCCCTGGATTAAAAGTCCCAATACCGGGATCTTAGTGGGTAATAAGTTACAAAGAATAAATTACCTATACTTTTTTTTCAAGCGTATGACAATTTTTTATTAAAATACTCAGCATATATAGAAATACTTCATTTTTGTACGCAGTTTAAAGGTCAAAATATTATACACCGCCGTACAATAATAAAAATACATTGAAATTACATAGCAAGAGTGATTCCATCTATCGCGTTTAGCATAAAATACGCAGTAAAATTACAGGCCACTGTAGAATAAATTCATACATAACCTATAATATAGCATATTTCAAACTCGATAATTTCAATGTAAGTTACAGCCCCAATTGGAACTCGCCAAGGCCCGATTGATAGAAGAAATGGAATTATGTATTTGTTAATGGGGGTAAGTGTGGGTACAATGTGCCTACGAATTCTTGAAAACCATTCCTCCAACTATTGTGAAGTCCGAAAGATATTGCTCGTTAGTTTGTTTGTTCCTTTATTTTTAAATTGGTTTTAAAATTAATGATATATATTTTTGGGACTGATCCCGGGATCCCGGGATTAGTTACCTTTGGTCCCGAAAGGCTCGGGATTGACACCCCTATTGCCAACCTATCTTACCTTAAAAAATTCCACTAATATTAAAACATTTACTTAATAATTTTTGGTCCAAATAATAAAAAATGGCAAAAATACGAGCATACATTTTAAAAGAAAAGTTGATTACAAAGAAGAACAAAGGAACATGATAAAAAACTAAAAATCTTTTAATACATAAAATATAGATAGGTACGTAAATTCAGATATCGTCGTTGGTTTAGCAATAATTTTTACATACATATGTATAAAATTCAAAATTTTTTAATCAACGCAAAAAACTTCCTTCCTTTTTACTTATAATGATTAAAATTTAACCTCTTTCTGAGCTATCTAGCTTGACGTCAATTTTATAACGCTCAGGGAATAAAAACGGATTATTATTATGACGTAACTATCGGGCCTTTAACATTTCGAATCGTGGCACGTTAGCGTGCCTCTAGTCACATCGTTAAAAATAACATCTTAGGTGGTTAGGAATGTAATTTTGTCCCACGCTTACTCAAAAAATGAACAAAGTAAGCTATTATTACACTAGTTAAACAATGAAAATATTGTTCCACTAGTGGCCAATTTACTCCTAATAATATTAATATTATTATTAATAGTATATTGTGCAAAAAGTATTTTGATTTTTTTAACATTGTTTTTTTTGTAATTATTTGCCTTTAAAATTTAATTACAAATATGTGAACAGTGTTTTAAATAATATTTTTGAAAGTATGTATCAACTGTGTCTAAAACATAGCTGTAATTTATTGTTTATAATTCCATTCCATTGTTCCACTAGTGTAATAATAGCTTACTTTGTCCATTGTTTTCGAGCGTATAATGTCTCAATTCTAAGTAAGTGTAGGACAAATTTGTATTGAAAGAAATTTATAAAGAATAAATAATTTAATTGGAAAAAAGTGAGGTTAATTTCTTTTGATATTAGGATATTAGGTTGTATACAACAGGTGACTAGGATGATTTTGGAATAAGCTTCGTCAGTTTGTTTGTTATTGTTGATGTTAGTATAATGATTTTAGGACAAAATAATATGTGCAACTCGTGGAGAATGGTCGATTGTAAACTCGCACTCTTGCTACGCTCGCTTAGCTCGCGCATCAAATGACTGCTTGTTCAGAATTGATGATGCTCCTTACTCGTTGCGCAATACTATATTCTATACTATACTATATTAATTTGGCTTTAATTTAGAATCCTATGTACAGTTACGGAAAGTAGTAATGTCCATTTGAATGCTCAATTGTAACTGTTCGGAAGCATTCGGAAATAGTCAACATCTGCATCTTAGTGATTTATTTAAAAATATGTCTATATTTAGAATTTACTACCTGCTCGTATTGATATAATTATTTTGTGTGTATTACAGATTTAACCGTATTTTTATTAAATCATTAATTTTTTGAAATCGTCACCCTAATATAACAAGGTTGTATGTTAAAAAAACGAAAAATTTAAGTCTATGTTTCTACAGGATTACACGTGGCCTACGCTTCACATACCACTTAAAAATAATTCTATAGAATGTATATTCTATGTATACATATATATATATATATATATATATATATATATATATATATATAGAGTTATTTTTAAGTTGTATGTCAAGGGTGGATTACATAAAACCTTGAAGAAGCCTAAACTCAATTTTTTTTAACATACTACCTTGTTATATTAGGGTGACGAAATGTTTTTTTATAGTTTTAGAAAATTTATACATTTATCATATGAAAAACTTTTAAAAAGAACTTTTTAGGCTAAACATAATATTACCAAGTTTTTTAAAACTTAATTTACATTTTTAAGAACTAGCAATGATTCAATATATTATTCTACACCATAAATATACAACACATTTTATTACTTGTTGCACGTTTATGTGTTAAAATTAAAAAAATATATTTAGAATTTTTATATTTGGTATATTTTTAAATTAAATTAATTAATTAAATATACTAGGATTAAATCCTAAGGATTTATCAAAAAACGTTTGTTATAATTATAATAAAAAAGTTAACCTACACGGAGAGAAATGTATAGTAAATTTTAGATAGTTAAAAAAATATATTAAAATTTACTTTAAAAAATGTTTAGTTTAACAATATTAAATATTCGTCAGTAAAATATAAAGATTGTAATACGAAATAGTATTTTTTATTATACAATTTTAGTAAAGATTACAACACCAATATTATTAGATCAAAAATGTATAATACGTATTTTAATTTTAAATATATTCGTATAGTACATTGATTTTACTATCTACAAATAGTAATATTTACTATATGATTTAATTAAATGTATTATACAAAATAATAAAATACACTATTTAGTTTGTTATGGGTTACGTATCTATTATATTTATTTTTAAAATTTACTATCTAATTATAATAAGAATTAAAAACAAAATTGGTTGAGAATAATAACCTTAAGGTTTAATACACATGGATATTTAAAAATTACTAAATATGCATAGTAACTGGCAATATACAAGATAGTTGTCCCAAATAGTAATATATAATATAGTAAAGGGTATTATAATTATGGTAATCAGTATTATACTTTTCTCTCCGTGTACTTATAAAACCATAACATACATGTACATATAAATATACATATAAAACTATAAAACATATAAACATACATAGGCATGTATAAAATTAAAAAATATATAATATATATTTCCTCAAAATTATTTATGTATCAAAATTAAAAAATAAATTTAGAATTTTTATACCTAATTAGTATATTTTTAAATTAATTAAATATACTGGGATTTATTAAAAACCGTTTGATATAATTATAATGAAACAATTAATATAGATATGAAACTATCTAAAAAATGGTCCTGTTAAAATGTAAGCTCTTAATATTAAATTTCATTTTTTAAAGTACTTTGAAATTCTATAACTCGTCAACGGATTAGTCATTAATAAATAAATTTTACAGATTTTCCTACTTTTTCAGCGAAACTAAATTTATGGTAAAATTTAGTAGGGCCCTTTCTTTAAAAAAATATTCTGCTAAAAGCGGCATTTATATTTAAAAACATTAACATTTTTTAACATTTTTTTAAAATAAAAATGCCGCTTTCTTTTTAACAGAATATTTTCTTTAAAAAAAGGGCCCCACTAAATTTTACCATAAATTTAGTTTTGCTGAAAAAGGAGGAAAAATTATAATAATTATTATAAAGGGTTTGGACCCAATTTGGTCAAATATTAAATTATTATTTAAAAATAGTCTACATATGTGCCATGCAAAACGACTTAAAAATATTCCAACTCCATATTATAAGTATTTTATCTAATATTTTCATTGATTACTCACAATTTTATTTTTGGCACTTAGACCCTGGGAAGACCAAGCTTTAATTATCATAATAAGTATAAGTTTATGCCGTTTTCATATTTTATTGGATTTTTATATATTGAAATAGGTTGTTGGGCAGTTATTTCATAAACCAAAAAATAAAAACTAAAATGTTGATAAACGGATTAAAAGTGAATTTCTTTTTATAAGCACAAAATGCATTTTAGTTTAAAATTTTAATTGCTTTAATTACCATAGTAAGAATAAATATTTAAATTCAAATTGCCCAGGTAACAAAAAATTACATAAACAATGTATTTGCAATGTTTTTAATTACTTTAGTATTAAATGTTTATATATTTCATTTATATATATATTTTTTTATTAATATCGACTAATTAAATAACATGTAGTTCATTAAATAAATTATAGAACATATATTATATTTAAATTATTTTAAAATCAATTTTATTCCTTAAATATTTAAATGGTTTAGATTATTGCTTAAAAGCTTATTAGCTTAAAATTTTAAGGGGTATAAATTACTGTGGATAAAGAACTCAGAATACCGTTACGGCTAAAAATACTGCAAAAGTAAATGGTATCATAATGATAAAAGAATCCAACGTTAAATAAAATATGCGTAGAAAGAATAATAAATCGCAGGTAGGTAGAATTATTAAGTTTAAAAATATATATGTTAATTTTATTACCAAAACCCGAATGTCTCCGAACAATTACAATGGAGCATTCAAATCACAGATAATGGGACAATGTGTCTGTGATTCAAATGGACATTACTATTTTCCGTAACTGTAAGTGTATAAAATACAATGTATGTAATGTAAATATTGTATTGTAACAATACCTATATTATATAATACCTACAATCATTGTAGGTCCTACATACTATAATTTAGAATTACGTGCATAGATCTTATTGCTGAAGCACCGACGATATAAATTTTAATTTTGTAATTTAAACTAGATTTAAAAATTTTTCCTCCTCATTTGTTTACGCAATGTTCAATATTCAATATTAAATGTCCCATAATAACAATTTAAGTAATAAACCTATTCAATTAAACATGTTTTTAGATTATATAAAACGTAGTGAAATTTTGAAACACATCAAAGGATTGTTTTAATTCCATGGGAAAGTGATTAAAATAATCTCTTTTTCTAGGCGTAACATCGACATATTGACATAAAATATCTATTACACATTACACACTTGATTTTAAAATTTGTTGACAATCCCGTTGAACAAAAAATTCACATAAAATTATATAAACAACACCTCTAAGCTATATATTTTTATATCTTTTCAAAACATTTTAAACATTACATTTATAATTACTGTTTATATGTTTTTAAAAAAAGAAAATATTAAAGATTAAAGCTTTGGTCGTTACCAATTTAAAGCTTTCATTCCGAATATAAATTATGACAATAACAAACTTAATTACCCTGTGAGAATTTTTATAACATATAAACTGGTGTCAAGGAAATTACTTAACATCTATGAATTTTATGAGTAGGATTTTATCACTGCTTATTTTATTTTGATACATTTTGGTCAAACATTTCTCGCGGAGAAAATTTCTCATTCGTTTTAGGATTCTAAAATTTTTTCATATCGAAGAATCAAAAACGGCCATGGACGAAGATATGTCGATATCTTCTTGACAGCATTCCAAAAATTCGTCCAGAGTAACCACACCGTCGCCATTTTTGTCCATTTTCTAAAATAAATATAAAATATTTAAATGAATACTTATTGGTATAGGATTGGTAAATGAAATATTTATATTTCAAATAAACTTTTTAAATGCCTTGGGTATTTCATTCAAATAAAACGTCTGATGCAAAAATCGTTGTTTTCCTTTTTGGAGTTGCGGTTTTATTTAACTTAAATATATCCTACAGGAAAATACGTAAAAAAATTAATCATTTTCAGTAATTCCCACCAGAGATTAAATGTAATTTCGTAGTGCTCAAGCTAGTTTTTCGTTTGGAGAAAATTTAAACCTAAATGGGTTTATAGCATTCCGACTAATTTTCAACTTGGATTTTAAGAAAATTGTATTAATTATCAAGCGCTAAAAATTTTAAACGCTTTTTTTGCACCCTGGCCGATCTCGGTTCGCTTAATGCGAGGTGTTTAATTTTAATGGAAAAGATATTAAACCTGTTAGAGACCTTTAATAATAAATCTACTTTAAATTTGAGGCACTTATTACCATTTGTTTTTTCAGGCAGCTCCTAATACCCTCTGGGGATATAAAGGTCTAAACTGGCCATTCTAGTATCAGTCCGGGGGTTGCTGTTAAAGAAGTGTAAAATTTCGTCATAATTTCTTTAAATTGAACGCACATTATCGCCATCAAGACGTACAATTTCTATTTTGTCTCTTAAAGTTAGATTTTTCATCTTTATTATTAAACCAGAAAAACTAATAACTTTCCGACGTTTTAATTTTGACAATTAACTGTTTTATGGATAACTTAAAATAAAAAATGTATTTAATTTCCATTTTAAAATGTTCATTTTTAATTTGGCTACAAAATCGTTCCTAAGAATTTTAACTTCAATAAAATTTAGTATAGGGTCGTTCTAAAAAAATTACTCTCATAAACTTACAAAGTAGACTATTTATTTTGTAATAATATGGTTTTTTTATCCAAATATCCAGATTATCATGATCTACAGTTTAAAACAAATCCTGTTAAAATCGCACAATAAATAAAGGTCTTAAAATATGAAAAATATTGTACGCTTAAAAAGTATTTTTTAACAAGAGTGCGGAAAATTGGTATTTTCTGCACGCATTTACTTTCGGCAGTGTAGAGTGCAACTTTCCGCACTTTTTAGGAAACATATTTCTTAAATTTTAAGTTTTTTGTTAGGTATACTTGGTAGAGTATCTGGATATGCAAATCTGATTAATTTATTGAAATCCATTAGGAAACGAAGATTCAAAATTTCGGGAATATGCGATATTTTTGTTGTTTTGATTTAATGAAAAATTTATAAACTTTTACTTAAATATTTTAAATTTAAATAATTTAATTTACTTTGTATTATTTTAAATTTGTATTTCATTTTTGTACATTATAAACAAAAAGGACCCAAAGTTTTATATTACGCGTATTTAACAAATACATTTCTAATATTTAGATATTTTTACAAAAACACTAAATATTTTGTAATTTAAATAATAATCTTTAAAAGAAACTCTTGTCACACTTTACAAAACATTATGTCAAAGTAATCAATAAAACTACTAAAAATGTATTTATCTTCAACCGCTCTTTAATTTAAGATTTATTATTCGAGTATCTCCTAGCCTGTAAAAAAACCATTAGGAGTCCTAACTTAGGACCAATACAAAAATCGATAGCGGCTGACAGCTCTGAGCTTTCTAACCTCATTTTATACTTTTAAAATAATTATTAATAAGTACGTTTTATGTATCGTTTAATAAATAAAACTATGCCTTGAAGATATAAACTGTTGTATGCCATTCGGCTATTTGTCTTTTTGTGCTTCGCAAACTTTAAGCTCAGCACAAAAGGACTTACTTCCTAGCATTATGACAGATCAAATCCAAGATGCTCCCGTGGACGAGTTTTCGTTCGTGAATACACGAATAATAGCAATATTATCAAAGAAGAAAGAGAAATATTTGTGTGCGTTTTTTTTAACTTGATATTGAAGAAAGTGTTAATATAATATTATGGATGATAGATGCTTTGGAAAAATATTTGTTACAATTTACAATAGTACAATAGTTTAAACCAAAAAAAAAAATGTATTACAATATTTTGTTAATAATATTCCTATATGCGGGATACTTCGAAAAATATGAATTACAATTTAAATAAATTTTTTTATTATTAAAAGAAAATACAATAACTTGTTTTAACCAAAAATATTATTACAATATAGGTAGTGTTATGTAGGTAAATGCTTTGAAAAAATATTTAATTAAATTTTAATGTACCTACCTATTTTTTATTATTAAAAGAAAATACATTAATTTTTTAACAAACATATTTACAACAATTTAAAATTATAGTACGAAAATTCCCCGAAAATATTTTATAAATATTAAGTTTATTTAAAAAAAAAATTGTAACCAAAAATACTTAATTCTATTTTAAATAAATTTATTATTATTATTACTTATTAAAAAAATACAAAAATTGTAAACAATTTTATAATTGAATCACTGCAACAATGCAGGGTGCAACAGTAGTAATTGAATGCTTTGCTGCAACGCAACTCAAAAATAATAAGTTTAGTACAAACAGAACAGGTTAACACAACGCAATAACAATAATTTAAATACTTAAAAGTAATTCGAACCTTATCAAACGCAAAAAACAACAAGTTTAACAAAAAAAAACAGCAAATAAAAAACCAACAACAACAACAACGCAAAAATCAAAAGTTTAGCACTAGAAAAGTAAAACGCACGTTACCTATCCTATCTTAAGTCAAATCTAACCTCACTTACGACTTTTAATAATTATTATAATATTATAATTACACTGTGATACAAAATTAAGGTTTGCGAAAGGGAATGGAATAAAACCAAAAGCAAATGAAAGTTAATACTTTCCACAAGAAAACCCTATCAGGGTTTTTTTATATCACGTCTCAGTTTTTTTTTGTACGCATTTAAAAATGGTAAATTTTTTGACACCCTATAGGAAAAACATAAGTAAAACTATGTTAATTATTCAAAATAATTTTGTCAATTTGATCGAGGAATCTATTTGTGATGTTAATTTTTACCAAAGACCCTCAGAAGAGGACGCTATCAAAAAATTGTTACTAAGTTTTACTATTTTTGAAGGTATCCATTTTTGTCATCCGTTTGTTGTAAAATATACCCTAGGTGATATTCGAAAGCAATTTTTAATATTTTGGATTTATTAGTATAGAAAACTTGTTTTTTTAAGAAAAAATAGCATTTTTACTTCTTAACTAAACATTATTAAATTCGCTATTTTATTTTTATTTAAAAACTATCACTGCTGTAACCGGCAGTAACACGAGTTTAAGTACCAGAAGTTCCAGCTGTTCATCCAAAAATTGATAAAAATGCAAAATATAATTAATATAATCAAAAATACCATGTTTTAGTATCAAAATAAAAAAAATACCTGAATTATACCACAACATTGGAACACCAAATTTCATTGACTTCTTTTTCTTTTGTGATCATTTAATTAAATTGTTATTACAAGTTCTGCAAACTTTTCAACATATTCAATTATACATATGTATACCGTAATATTGTAGGTACAATTGTTTACATTTTTATATTTTGGAACTAAGTTTTGTTTTATATTATATTTATTATTTTGTTTTATATTATATTTATTTTATATTATATTGTCCTTTAAATAAAAAAGATAATTTAATTAAATATATTAATTAAGAAAAACGTTTTATGTTGCTGTCACTGATTTACTATATAGTACATAATATTATGTGTTTTTAAGTAAACAAATCAATTTTACCTTTAAACAACCTCGTTTTTGCTACAAAAACTGCAATTTTTTGTAGTAATAATATTTTTTCAAGAGGGCGAATACGCCGAAATACTTTTTTTTTGTTTTTATCAAAACAGGAAAATGGCATATTCGCCCTTTTGCAAAAATACCATCGATATATTACAATATATTACCACAAAAAAATGTTTTTGTATACAAGTATTGTGTTTTGATTAAAGCATTAAAGAGAATATTTTTTTTATAAAAATGCCCAATTTTCTAGTAAAAATGCTCTTTACTTGGAATGGATTCCTCGACTATATTGCCAGAATAATTTAAAAAAATTAAAATTCTTTTACTTATTTTTTTCCTATTATAGGGTGTCCAAAAATCTACCAACTTTAAATGCGTATAATAAAAAACTGAGACGTGATCTAAAAAAAACCTCATAGGGTTTTTTTGTAGAAGCTATTACCTTTCATTTGCTTTTGGTTTCATCCCATTCCCTTTTGCACTGTTGCACTGTGTTATTGTACGTTTTATGTATTGTTTAACCCTTAACTGATATGGTTATATTTAGCAACGTATCTGGTATTGTGGGTCAAAATTGACCCAAAAATTATTTTTTTAAATTTTTAAATGAATAATAATAATAATAGAAATAATATTAATTAATAACAGTATTAAAAGTGATAATTAAAAAAATACAAAAAATGACATTAAAAAGTGGTATAAAACAAATCATTTTTTTTTGTTCAATCAGGTCAATGTGATCTAACTATAATATATATTATATAGATGGGATAATACCTTCATCGGTGAGCGTTTTAGTGAAAACATGTGAAGTAGAGGAACAAAAAATTAAATGTGGGGTCACGTCGGACCCCACCATACCACAAACAAAATTATGCCTTGAAGATAAAATCTTGTATGCCATGCGGCTGCGTCGGCATTCAAACTTTGAGCTGAGCACAAAAAGACTTACTTTTTACCTTATAACATAAATAATTCGTTGTATACAAATAACAAGATCGGAACCTTTGCGTTGCAAACACTCTTGTCTTGTCTTGTCTTATATTCCATGGCGTTTCAGGAATGAGTCAAATTCAAGAAAATAATTAGAAATGGCTACGATTTTACGTCAAATTAACGTTGTAAATACTTTACTTTACTAAACGTAAAACTAGTTCAAACTGGAAAATTTTAAGTTTAGTTTTAAAGAGTGTTTGCATAATATT